CGTACCTACTGTCCCAAGTTAGTTTATCTACGTTCTATCATTAATTTCCTTGTGTGCAGTAACGCCCTAGAAGAAGAGATTAGATTAGAAATAGAGGTATTAGAAATAGCTTTCATAAAGTATGCAAAGGTGTTGTTGAAAAAAGACTGGGCATTGAGCAAAGGGAGGTCCACAGAAAGAGGTAATCAAGGCCAATCAGGACAAATGATTGCTGAAACCACACAACTGCTAGGCGCATAACGAATCGCTTGACATCACTGAGTAAACTCGAGTGATAGGCTGTCGCAATCGGCTCTTTCGTGACTATTTCCATGATATCATAATCTACACCGCTTGTTGTTTGCGTCACAAAGATTAGCCCTAAACATATGCCTCTTGATGCGTGGCAATGATTTATCTGATATGATGTGCAGATTGTAATGTGATTCACACAGATGAAAATTTGCGCTCGTTGTTAAAATAACCGAATGTTTATTCATGAACAGTAAATACAAAATGCGTGGAATACTGTTATTCTGTACACATATTATTCCGGGCTATTCCGAAGAGAAATCAAGTGAGGAATTCTTGGAATTCTGAATGAAAACAAACTTCTTCAATGTCCCTCAGACGAATACTGAAGATATAAATCACAACTCTGTCACAATAGGTAATCGCAAGCTAGGGCTGAAGTTACCACTACTTGGTGACGCCTTGCGTGATTGGCCCCACCGAAATAACTTAAAGAACTCCAGTCAAGTAACCCCTATGAGACTGATGAACTATAAACTAATTACCACCCATTGCGTTAAAAGAATACGTTGACATTATGTCACACTTTCTGTCCAACATCTTCAGCAAGTAAATTCGCTATCATTCAGTAACACGTAGCTGGAGACCTGTCAATTGTATGCCGCTTCCCAAGAAAGTCTTAACGAAACTGGTATCCTATAACCTGCAATTTGTCTTCAATGTGAATTTCGGAAAAGACAGCTCCAAGCAAGTTTCTTTCTGTCTTCCCATCCTCGCTTAACCTACAAAAATCATTGTTATCAGTGCCTCTGTACAGTACCGCACCATCTCAAAGTTAACTGAAATGAACTATGTAGTTCGTTTGCACGTGGTAAAACTGAACGGACAACCAGCTGACACCGCATTCACACACACACACACACGTGTGCATGCACGCACGCGCACTGATACACAAGCCAGAATGTACGTTCAGGTAGCTAACAAACTGGCCCTGTTGTCACGATTTGTGCTCATCGAACCACTTTTTGAGACACGTTTGTGCATCCACCCTGTTGGCTCATCCAGCGAACACAATCGAATCGGTCAACAGTAGTTCTAAGCTTCCTCATAGTAGTAGTGGGGTCACAACAAAAATCACAGCTTAGTCTCACGACAGATTGGACAAAACGTTGTTGAAACAGGTGACCAGCACTTGTACCAAAACAATCCGGAGCACTTTTATTTCAGGTCAACTGAAAGAATTGATCACACATAAGTGAGATAGTTATTTCCAAATCTCAGAATAGGCGAGAACACCAGACTGAAGATTACGTTGTGAGAAGACTGCAATTGTGTGAATATCATCATCGTCATTGTACAGCGTAATGTCGTGAAGCGAACTTCACTGATCTCTGCCAAACTCATAATACATACAAGATAAGTGAGAATGTGTAAGGAGGACAGGGATTGGGTCTATAATTGGGGACGGGAAAAGGAAATGAACCTCTATGGTCAACACAACATTGAAATAAACACCATGGTGGTCGATTATGATGAACAGAAAATAAGTTTTAATGGTCGAAAAAAGTAGATCATAAGATACGAACGAGCAAGAAAGTTTTAGGAATTCGGTGCTATTCGAACACAAAACAAAGTAGTCACTGTGTCCTGCGGGGCCCAAGCAACCCACCACCACCAATCTATAAGTGTGACTGATTGTGATTGAAGGAAATCAGTGTATTGCTTGAAGTCAGGAGAACTGATCAGTAGATTAAACTTCTTTCTGGAAGAAAAAAAGCACCCTTCTTAGACTACGCAGATTGCCACAAAAGTGTAACATTTCAGCTGTCCCATTTAAACTCCAATTTGAAGCGTTGGTTTTTACTCCAAAACTCAGGTTTTTCGACAATGTAAAGCTGTCTGAAAGTGGAATAAGATAGAGTGGTCTATGAAAATTTTTCCATATTGACACTTCCGAGAAGCCGATATAAGTTTATCCCGGGTAAATTGCCCGAAGAGAAAGGAGGATTGAGATAATCACGTGATTCACACTTTTCGAGGTGAAAAATGAACCACTAGCATTTGACATCGACACAGTCCGATATGTCAAACACAGGGGTTCATCTTTGGGTTGTTTTTCAAAATGGCGAAATCGAGATTTATGCTGATCAATACTTATTGCAGTGTAGCCAATATAAGTTGAAAGGGTAAGGAATACTCAAAATAATTGGTAAACCAACGAAAATGTCCAGCTCTGTTATTTCGAGTGAGTGGGCTATCTGTTCAGACGTAACATGTATACCTGTTTCTATTGTGGCTATTCCGCAGCCGAGAGAAGAAGTTAAAAAGGCTGACTAATAAACAACAGCTCTATCCTGTATAGTTCGATGAAGAGGACATTGACAAGTGAATGATAGTATGATGCGTTTATCATTCCCTTCGATTATTTCGTTTGTGGGAGAGATAAAACGATGAGGAAAGCAGTGACTGGTGACGGATTCAAAAATTCTACAAGTGAATTTGTACGAAATGTTGAGTGAATGAATTAGTTTCCCGGTAAGATCAGATTTTTCTTTTGTATTAGGCTCTACGCGATTCGTAGAAAATAATGATCCAAGAAGTCCATGATCGATTTACATTACGCCTCGATTCGTGTGCGAAAAGGTGACCAGTACAACTGTCTTGATTTTTGAAGTTGAAATGATAGATATCACAGTGCATTTGGGGATATAAGCTGATCAAAAAGATTGCTGTCTATAATAAGTACAATATATCTGATGGGGTCCACTTGAAATACAGAATTGCTTTTTACTGTGGGGGTGGGGTTGTAGAAGGGCAACATTGTAAAATGCCATACAATCACAACAAATTTACTTGGTTGAAAGATGAATTGGTTGTCTAAATGAAGCGTGAGCTGAAATTTCGACTCACATGGGAGGATAAGTCGAGTTGAGTCATAAATGCACATTTTCATCCACTGCGGATAGAAGTTTCAGTGAAAGATCAACACTTTTCCTTTGGGATGCGTGAGATTCAAATGGATATAATGATATATCATTCAGTAAATAACAATGGTGAAAAGGAGCAAGACGGCGTAGCCAAAGCTGTAATGT